GAGAGAGAGAGAGAGAGAGAGAGAGAGAGAGAGAGAGAGAGAGAGAGATGGCAGCGACTTTGGCATGGAGAGAGATTGTGCGAGGGGAGAGTGTCATGTGTTGGGAGCGCCGACGGGAGCGTGACATGTTCTTCCACCGCGACACAAGCGCGTTCGTCCCGGAGATCGACCGGAAGTCGTACCGCTTCTACTTCGTGGACGTCAATGGCAAGGCGGCGGTGGATTTTGATGTCGCAATCGGTTACCGCAAGCGACAGTTGTCGCACATGTTGGTGTGGGTGAAGAAGGTGGGGAGCTTCATCCCGGATGATTGGGCGTCGTTGACTGTGGACATTGTTGGCAATATCGTCCTCAAGCTCGTGGAGAACTTTGCAAACGACCACGACTGGCGGTTGGACAACGATGCTTTTTTTTACACGTACCTCGATCCGCCGCTTGTTGGTCGTGGATACATCCATGGAGAGATCCAGATGTAGGAGAAGTTCGTTGGGGATGGGACAGGTGGCCGGATGATTGCTTTACGACTCGACTATGTGCCTTTCCTGACGTTGGGTTCAGAAGGTGGTGATGTTGTGGTCGAACGGCCGGCGGCTTCATCAGTACACGGGGAGTGTCGAACGTGTGTGTTTCTCCACGTGGCGCGACGCAGATTGCCATTCTCGTCGTGTATGGGATCTTGCCGCGTTCGCCGAGAGATGGCATCTTCGGCGACCACTGATTGTCCAACGCGTTCGTCTCGCCACCTGCCGTGCGGGGCAGTTGGCTGATGTGTTGAATGTGGGGGAGGTGGCGGTGGTGTGGTTGATGGGCATGCGGATATTTCGGCGACCGTCGATTGTCCACGTCTTTCTTTCGCCATGTGGCGCGCATCGCAGCTTGCCGCTGTGGTGAGTGTGTGCAAGTGGTGATGGCGCCCTGCATGAGTGTTGTGGCATGTTCCTCGACTATGAGCTGTGTCACATTGTTATCACGCAACGTGGACCGCGGGCCCGATGGCCAGTGCGGTGAATTCCTGCCATCCGAGATCATTCACGCTCCATGGCAGCCGACTTTCAGGACGGTTTTGTGCTTCGCCGACCCATCCAGTAAAACTTGTTTCATTCGGTGACGGGCTGGGATGTTGAATTGCCCGATTTCATTTCAGTTCGATGCTGTCGTGCAAGGTGCCTACTCCTGTGTGTGTGTGTGTGTGTGGTTTTTTTTTTTTTTTTTTTTT